TAAAAAATATTACAAGTTGGTGGCATAAAAACTTGATTAGATTTCTAGCGCTGCATAACAGATTACCACACATTTAACAGCTTAAAAGCAACTATTTTTTGTCTCATAGTTTAGGAAGAAGCCTACGTAAGCTCAGCTGGGTTCTCTGCTCAAGGGCCCATAATGCCAAAATCAAGGTGTTGGCCAAGCTGGGTTCTTATCAGAGGCTCTGGGAGAGAATCTACTCCAAGCTCATTCAAGTTGCTAGCAGAATTCAGTTCCTTGTCATTGTGGGACTGAGGTCCCCACTTCCTTGTGCGCTGTCATTCAAGGGCTCTCTCTGCTTCTGGAGGATGCAGGCAGCCTCTGTCTTCAGATCTGCTGAAGCATGTCAAGTCCTCTTCACACTCTGATTCTCTCTGGCTTCCCCTTAAGTCCCCTTTCAGCCACACAGAGCTCATTGCTTTTCAGGGCTCATATGATTAGGTCAGACCTAACTGGATAATATCCCTATTTTTAAGTCCAGTATGCCCTATAACATAACATAGCATAACATAATCACAAGCTTGATAGCTCATCTTTCTTACAGGTCCAGGGATTAAGGTGGGACGTCTTCGTGAAGCCATCTTCCTTTGAATTCTGCCACAACAAAAAAGAGAAAGAGTTTCAAGTGAGTTTAGAGGATAGTATTTTGACTGTACTTCCTTAGTGGAATGTTCAAAAGACAAAAAGAATTCTGTAAAAATGTTTTAATTTCATTCAGTCCTTTTATGTCAGTGGCAATTTGGTATTGTTGTTTGAAACAATTATACCTATTATGTAGGAAAAAGCAAATAAATAATTACATTCATGTTGTGGGAACTGAGATTTTTGTGACAAGAAAGAGATCAAGTAAAAAATTGAAGAGGTTAAGCAAAAACCTTCAAAGAGTAATTTGAATTGGAAATGTCAGTATGAATTCATGAGTTTTCCTCTTAAAAAGTCTATTTTCTAACTCAATCCACTCAAAAGGCATAAAGAAATGACAGCCCAGAAGCAGTGAGCACTTTCGTAGCAATGAATACCCTTAGCAACCAGATGTGGTCTCAAAATACTATTTCTCATTAAAAGGAACTAAGATTCTGCAGAAATAGCTTATTGTTCTGGACCAGGAAATGTATAAAATGGGTCTGGAATATCTTCTCGAACAGGAAAAGAAAAAATATCTCGAAGACCAGTGAAATCATTTCAAAAAGATACAAGAACCAATCTAAAGGGACAATTTGAGCACCAGAAAGAATAATGATTGCAATGGATTAGAACATATACAACACAGAAAAGCTTTTGAGTTTATAGTTATTTAAAAAAAATCTATTCGTCACCATTGGCGATCACTAGGTAACCAACTCATTTCTCTGAAAAATTAATAAATGAAAGGAAGAAATCAAACATTTATTTCACCTTTTTTATAAGAATTACATTTCAGTGTAACCAAAGAGTAGGCGAGGGAAAGTTCTTGATAGTAAACTTCCAGCAAATAAATGCACAAGAAAGAACAGAATTTTAAAGTCACCGTTTTTCAACACTTAATGAAATGATGGTTTTTTCATTATTTCAATGAATGCCAATAATGATAACAATCATCAATGGATACTAAAATCATTAGGTGAATGGTTGATGGACAATTGGTCAATATTACTATCACACACAAAAAAATGGGATGCAATAATAAGTGCACAGCACCATCCAGAAATTCTTGCATAAATGTTACAATGGGAGAAGGATGATGAGAAGGAGGAAAAGAGGGGCCAAAAAATGGCTATGCTAAGCTTTAAGCAATAATTACTGGCTTAGCTGACCGCCAGCTGAGAAAAAAGACCCAATGGAATAGGAGACAAAGTCAGGAACATTACCAATGCTTTTCCACCTACCTTACAATTTTTTCCTTGAGTAGATTTTTGTCTCCACTGTTCATTGTCAGCTTGCTGCAGTGCTAATTTCAAGTTGCCTCTTAGCAATTGCCTTTGGCCAGCAATGGAGTATAAATCCAGAGTACACGGAAAGTATCTTGTCAGATTAAAATGTTAGTCCTTGAGGACCAGTCCACTGCAGGGTGGAGAAAATAATTTTTCTTTCAATAAAAATCTGAACCACCTGAGAAGGCAAAGATGTGTTTTATTACGGAAATTTAATTTGCTGAGTTTTAGAACTCAATATCCATTGAGTTGCTAGCATATTAAATGCATACCTTTCTATTCTTATTATCACTGTCATTCAAATATATATATATATCTCACCTCATGCATGGCCCTTTGATGGAAAAATTATGATGTAAATGGCAGTCCTCAGGTTAGGAGTCAAAAGATGAGGGTTCTGATCCTAACCCTATCCCCAAACTGCTGATAGTTGTGACTCCGCAGTGAAACGGGCATTAGGAGTCAAGTTAGAAGCCAGCAAGGGAAGAGGTTGAAGAGACCAAGACTTCAAGTACTGACAGTCACAGAATCCTCTAAGAAGGCTAAAGAAACACCTGTGAGGCTGGTGTGGGAGGACCAGAGATCTTCCCCCCGGACCAGTGGAGGGAGAGTTGGAGGTCAGGGTGGCTACTGAGGAAAAGCTCCCCAGGGAGGAGAGGCAGGATCTGGGAGAATCCTGCCCAGGTCATGCCAAGAGAGATAATTAAGAGTTAAGTGTTGGGAAGCAGTGGGGTTCCTGCTAACCCTCACATCATGGCCAATTTAATTTTATCTTTGGTTTGTTTCTGCAGATGGGGAAGGAGAGGGTAAAGGCTATGCCCTGTCAGCTGTCTCAGTCAAGACAGCTAAGACTAGGTTTAGTCAACTTCAACTCAGAAACCACATTTGCTGTTTGGAGTATCTTTTCTTTATTTCTTTTTATTTTCCCTTGGTTTGTTCGGGGATAGTCTTTTGAAAATACCCATGACGCTTGTTTCTATTTAAAAAGTTGGAAAAGAGAAAAGACATTTTTCTCTTCCCTCAGGCCAGGGGAGCAGAGGGCCCCTAGTGGCCAATGCTGGAGCTGCAGCAACCCCAGCCCAAGACCTGGCGGGCCTGGGAGGTGGATCTGGTGTGTGCAAATTAGAAAGGGGCGTTTGGAGGGGCAGGGGGAGAGGGAAGGGGAGAGAAAGGGATAGGGAGAGAGGGAAGGAGGGAGACTGGGAGACAGGGAGGGTCTGGGAGGGAGAAACTGGGAAGAGAGATCGGGAGGGAGCGTTGGGAGGACCAGAGTAAAGAACAAAAAAGGGAACAAAAGAAAAGAATGAAGAAATGCCAATATAGGCTTCTAAAACATATGGTATATTCAATATTTCCTTTTAGTAAATAAATATTTTTAATAATCTCCAATGTGATGCTGAGGTGGGAAGCCCATAAAAAAGACTGGCAGGATCCCTAAGCAGGGCCACTACTCTCCTGCATCCAGTTTCCTGGCCCGGAAGCTCTATCTCACTTTTTGCCTCTAAAAGGGCTTACTTCTAGGAAAGTGGAACTTACCCCTAAAATTCTATTGGTTCCCTGAGCTCACTCCTGATTGGTTATTTCACTCCCTCCTGATTGGTCCATTTCTACAAAGTTTGTTCCTAATTAGTCAACTTTTGTTACACCTTATTTGCATATGATGTTGCAAAGTGTAAACTGGCAGCCTAAAAAAGCCTGGGTAAACGTACAGATGGGTCGAGAGCTTGGAGTGTTAACTCCTCTGGGCCGGCTGGCATAATAAATCTGAGTTCAACTCTCCGAGTGCTGCTTGGTCTCTTGCCCAGATCCAGGTTGCTGTCATAATTAAGCTGTAACACTGAGCTGTCACACATTTTTCTGCAACATTTCAATGATTTGCTTGTCTACCTAGAAAGTTTTTAAAAATCTGAGGGGCTTTGTAAAGGGGAATCCCCACTGAGTGGCTTTCCTGACTCCTGCCCCTTTTTCCTCCCTTGTGTAAATTCCGCAATGAGGTGAACCTGTGACTCTCAAGTCCTAGTACCTATTAAAGTATGCAGAGAGACTACTACATGAAAGTGGGTGTCCTCAGACTAGCATCTGAAAGCAGGGCCCTCGTACAATGCTGGTAAAAGTGTGCATTTGTATAACAATTCGAAAAGCAATCTGGCAATACCTATTAAATTAAAATAAATATATGCCTTTTGACTCAGAAATCCTACTCCTGGGAATCTATAGAAATAAAAGCACCAGGACAGGGGACTATACACATGAAAGAAAGCTTATTACACTGTTGTATGTTGTGGCAAAAAATACAATGCCCATGCGTAGAGGAAAGGCTGAACAAACTGTAGAAGAGTCATGCTCTGGATTATATTATTAAACAAGAAAGTGTTACAGTGATATCAACTGATCTGGAAGGACTTCCACAATTCATACTGTTAAAAAAAAAGCCAAAGTAATAAGTAAAAATATATATTTGGTATGAATATAGAAGTGTATAAAACTATATATAGTAAGAAGCATATAAAACAATCAATGGCCAATCCCCCAATACTTGTACTATTGTATGATTGTGTAACTATGAAGAAACGTATGGGAAATACACACTAGGCTGCAATTGTTTTTGTTCATGGAAAGGGGTGAGCATGGGTATTGTAAGGGAAAAAAGAACAAGATTATAGAAATATATTTATGTTTGTGTATGAAATCAAATATACAAAGTTGATATATTTACATATAATATAGAAAGTATGTAGAGTATCTTAAAACAGCAGTATAATGGCAATTGAAAATGTAGACTGTAAAATTCACTTTACGACATCATGGTAAATTATGGTAAATGTAAAAATTAAGTATGTAAATGCAAAGTTCTAGAAGGTGACAAAGACAAATGAAATTTGATTTTTTATGAAACCAAGAGGAAGTTTCTTCTTGGATTTGTTATTTAATGTAGTCTGTAATTATGTAGGTTTTCCTTTTCTTTCTTTTTTTTTTCTTTTTAAGAGAAAGGAAAAAAAAGAAAAAGAAACCTTTGCTCTGGACTCTGGAGCAGAAGGATTGCTTCCCTTATATGGAGCAGTGAAGAGAGCTTAGACTTTCCAGCCAGACATTCTTGAGCCTGAGTTTTGATTCTATCACTTAGAAGTCTTAGGTAAGTGATCTTCAATACGATATTTGACTTCTCTAAGCTCTTGTTTCAACTATAAAATGGGGCTAACGATTGTACCTACCTCTTTGTAAAGAGCTGGGTATAGTCCTTGCCATGCAGCAAACTGTAAAATACGTTAGTTATTTGTGTTAGATTAATTTATGGCGATATTAATTGGCATTTTTTTCTTTTTGCTGCTATCAAATTGTCCAAAAGAAAAAGCTATCTGTTCTGTGTTCGCAATATTTCCCCTCCCCTATTCCAAAGGAACAGTCAAGGTTTTGTGCTCCTAGTTTCAAGGGAGCTTTGTATTGTTTGGTGGGAGAGGGAGAGGAGAGGGTAGGTAGGAGATAGGCATAAACAGACATCGAGTTCTCCAAACTGAGAAGGGTACTGAACACTAGGGGAACCCTGAGGGGCAGAGACCTCCTACTCTGCATCCCTGCACCCCCATTCATCCCACCCTTCCTGAAGCCTGGGAGAGAGCGGGATCTCAGAGGAATGGAAACACCCAGGAGGCTGAGCACAGGCAGCAGAGCTTCTGGGAACCTGCAGGCTGGGGCCGTGGGCATCTCAGGGTGAGCCTGTGGGCCAAGACCAGAGAGGCTCCTCAAGCATTTTTCTTTCCCTGCCTAAGAGCTAGATCCTTAGACCTCTGTGTTATCCTAGCTGTAATGGTGAATGATGCTGGGGTGAGGAGTCCCTATTCTATTTGGCAAGGGTCTGAGTTGGATTTAATTTGATTTAAAGAAAATACATAGGCTATATCAAATACCTATCACATTTTTATTCTTTTCTTATTTGGTTATTACTATATGACACTGGGGAGGTAGGTTATTTATCTTTCTTATTCTCAGCTTCCTCATCTGTAGAATGGGCAATAATAATAATATATAGCTCACAGAGCTGGTGCATGTGAGATTGAATGGGAGTGTTATCTCTGACAGTGGCTAGAACAGTCCATCACTGACTATTTTTATTGCTCTCTTTCTCTGTCTCTTGGGCATTCCTAGCTCTTGGCCTCTGGATAAGACACTTCAGCATTTGGAGCAAAATTTTCCTCTTCTGCTATTTGAATCCTACTTTGTCCTTCAAGTCCTAACATAAGTATGGGCCACTAATGCCTCCTCTGACCACTAGGCAGACTTCCTTTCTCAGAACTCGCAAAGCATTGATCTTGCTCAGTCCTTTCACACACCTGACATCTCATGAGCACCCTCCGAGTGGCCGGCTTACTTGGGGGGAAGTAGACAAAGTCTGCCTTCTCAGAGCTCACATAAGCAGATTATCTCCATGTCTTTTTTTTTTTCTCCAGAGTTTTCAAGGTTTTATTTACCACAAATAAAGAGTGCACATGAGCTGTTTATCCACTTTCCTCCCTGGGCAGCCTGGCGTTGGGGTCAGTGACTCTGACTGCCAGCTGTGCTGCCCTTTCCAGGATGGCTTTGCCGATTTTGGAGGAATTGTGCGCCATCTCAGAACAGTAAGAGCTGTTGCACATCAGCAGTGCTTGCAGCTCCTGGACGTTGTGGAACAGGACCTTCTGGAAGCCTGTGGGCAGCCTGTGCTTTTTTTTTTTCCTGTTGCCCTAAGAGCCATTGTTGGGCATCAGGGTATGGCCCTGAAGGGTGGCCATGATGCTGAGTAGGAGATGCTGGCAGTGCTGAGGGAGAGAGCGCCCGTGTCTTTTTTTATGTAGATGTGTCACTTTCCCAAATACACTGTCTGCTTCCTAAGGTCGGAAGTGGTGTCTTTTATCTCAGTGTTATCTAGAGCAGTACCTAAAATACAGAAGATACACAATGTATTGAGTGAGTGTGCCTTTAGCCAGCAATTCCTCTTTCTCCCTTAAAAAAAAAATTAAATCCCCACTTCTGTCAATAACTCTGAAATTCCTGGGTGCTGTGATCCATACCACCCCAGTCCAGCACAAACCAAGCTTGTACATGTTAGAATACACAGAATGATACAATCTTTTCAAGATGGCTGACTGAGGACTGTAGGGTGCGGTATGTGGCCTGGACCTGAACAGAGTGGATATCTATAGGATTCTGGGAAGAAGCTCCCACCAGGGACCCATTCTTTACCTGCTTTTGTCACCTGAGCTGGCTTCAGAGTTACTCTTAGACGTCTAGCAGAACAAAGAGTTAAAATTACTGGAGATTTCTACAACTCTGTGTTAGGGGTCAAGTAACAGTCCCCCATACCTTTCCACAATCAAGAAAACAGAGCTATGTGTTTGAACATTTTAACCATTATAATAACTGATACTTCCATAGCAATTAATGAATTGTGAAGGGCCGTCACATTTGTGACCAAGCTGAGGGAGCTGACATTACACTGTCACTATTATAGTTATTACTATTATGTGACAGAAACAGAGATTCAAAAACATTATCTAAAGCAGTTATCAAACAGCAACAACATAGCAGATCCAGGAAATGAATAGGTCTACTGATTTCTGTGTTCTTTACACGCACAGTTTTTTACAGAACTTTCTCGGAAGTCCACCTCATCTAGCCTGCAAAGCTTTTATTATTGTGAAGGAGAAAAAAAGGCTTAAGGTGATTCCTCAAGACCTAGCAGTGTCTGCGTCATGGTTGCTCTCAGTAAAAACTTACAAATGAAGGAACATATCTAGTCACAGGCCTAAACTTTTTTTTCCTACTTGACCCTTGCAAAAAGACACTGAAGAGACCTGTTAAAATATAAATTTATAATTAAACTGGAGTGACATGCAAATCACTAGTATACTGTTTTAAATTAGCTTCTTAGATGATTTTGCTAGTTATCTAAAGAGTACAGAGACTTTGGGCACAGGGCAAGTGAATTTTAACGTGAGGGGAGGAAGCAAGGTTTTGCAAAGTGTAGCCCAAGATAGTAGAACTGTACGAGGTTCTGCAGTGATCAGACCTGTGTGGGAAGCCAGGGGAAGTTGCAAGGGACTCACAGCTCAAAGGGGTTGATGTGATCGTAACAGTAGAGGAAAGAGGAGATGTGATGACACTAGTGACAAAGCTTGCTGAATATACTGTTAAAAATTCACTTCGGCTTCCTTGATTTAATTATTCAACAAGTATATGTTGAAGGTTTTTCATGTGCTAGAAAATGCAGTCACAGCCTCTCCCACATAGGAGCTTATAGCAGTGGTTCTTTTTATTTGTTTGTTTGTTTATTTACATATTCATTTATTCATTATTGAAATGTAGTCAGTTTACAATGTTGTGTCAATTTCTGGTGTATAGCATAATGCTTCAATCGTACATGTACATACATAAATTCCTTTTCATATTCTTTTTCATTATGAGTTACTACAAAATACTGAATATAGTTCTCTGTGCTATATATAATATAAACTTATTGTTTATCTATTTTATATATAGTAGTTAGTATCTGCTAATTCTGAACTTCCAATTTATCCCTCCACATCTCTTTTCCCCCACCAGTAACCATAAGTTTGTCTTCTATGTCTGTGAGTCTGTTTCTGTTTTGTAAATAAGTTTGTTTGTCTTTTTTTTCACATTTCACATATAAGTGATATATGGTATTTGTTTTTCTCTTTCTGGCTCACTTCACGTACACACAAACTCTTAAGTCATCTCCTAGTCAAAAACTTTATTGGTTTGGTATAAGCTATTTTCTGGGGAGAGTCATTATGATGGTGAAAATTATTATAATCGTTTATATTCCTATTTCAGTACATTACAGTTAGGGGAGAATCCAGGAGAGAAATGATGACGGCCAGAAGCAACATTGTGATAGGACAAAGGGAGGCGGGCATATTCCAGAGATCTGAAGCCCAGTGGGGTCAACAGGCGAGCACTGAGGTCTAACCAATTCTCCCCAGGATCCTGGCCTGGGTGACTGACCTGATGGAGGTGCCATTCACCAATAACCATGGAAAACAAATTCTTATATAAATTCCTAGACTATTGGTGGACTGGAATCATCCCAATCCATTCAAATTTCTCAACTGAAATCTGTCTTCCTGTGAGGACTCTGCTTCCCTCTCAGCCCTATGAGTGGGGCAGCTCATTCTTTCCTAGCCTGGATCCCTCCGAGGTGGGGGTGGGCGTCAGTGGTCTCTCTCCACACTAATGCTGCAGGACCATCATCTTCTAATTGTCCCCCACTCTGCCACCCCGTCTCCTCTCTGTCATCTTCAGGCCTGTCTGAAGGATTTGATGACTGGCCTACTGTTGCCTTTCTTTCCCAAGTCCTGCCATCATCCTGGGTGACTACTGTGCCCAGCGGATAGTTCATCCACTCAGAGTCCTAGCAGGACATCCCTGGGAGGTTTTTTCATTAGCTGTAACTACCCTGCTGTAATTAGGATACACTACCACCAGGTTGGCAGGACACGTGGGTCCTGGGCTATGGTAGCAATATCCAGGTGTCTCACACATATCTGAGATCAAGACCTGCTTTTACACAAAAGGAGGATCTGAGTTAAATTTTATTCATGTTAAGAATTAAACGAATTCATGTAAATCACTCACCATGGTGTCTGGCACAGAATAGTTACCCAATAAATCATAGTTATTATCATCACCACTATTATCATCAGGCTCCAGCCCCGCTCCCCACCAAGGGCATGTATTTACACACACACACTTCACCTAACAGAAGGAGAGCACTCTGTCTACCAACTTGTAGGGACATCCTGCCCCATCCTAGGGTCTTCTGCTCTCTCTCTGGTGAGTGTATCAGCTTTTAAGTAGCCTCAGGGCTTGCCTTGGCCCAGGGATTCTCTGAGTTCAGTGGACATAAAATTAGGCTGAGGAGATTTTTAAAAATGAAGCCCTCCTCTCAAATCAGATTTCACCCTTCTAGATTCCGAATCGGTACTTCTGGGAGGAGCAATAGGCATGTTTCTATTTTGCCTAATTTTTATCAAGTGCTCCCGGTGATTCTGATGCATGTGGCCTCAGCACCACACTTCTGAGAGCCAGCATCGCCCTGAACAACCAGCAACCACTGGCCCACGTCTGTGACACCGGTGATGCTAATGGACAGAGGTCATGAGTCAGTACCTTTGGGAGCACTGCCCTACATACTTGTGTGTATTCTCTGACTTAATCTTACTTACAATCCTGTGAGGCATGCCATTATTAGGAGTAATAATGAGAAAAAATAATGAGAAAAGTTAAGCTTAGCAGAGGTCACATAACTAGCAAGTGGCGGGAGAAGATTTGAATCCAGGCAGCCTGGCTCCAGATCCCTAGTGCTTATCCACTTCGGTTCCTCCCCCAAAGCCTGTTTAGACTTTTTCCATTTCAAGGTGAATGTTGAAGAGTTCACTTGCCTCAGCCTTATCTCTGCTCAGGGCAGTCTGATTGTTCCCACCCCGTGACAGCAATAACCCCTTGGGATTTTTATTTTCTTTTTGTTTAGCATCAGCCATGGAGCTCACAGACCCAATTCCCACCACTCCACTGCGCTCTAGCCACGTTACAACACAGCATCGCCTACATCCATTCTCTGCTCCTTCGCTAGTGCTGCTTCCTTTGTGTGGGTGAAGATCTTGGTGGGACCTGACCTAATACTGCAGTGATGGGGCTCTGCTTCTGCGCCCACTGCCCGCGGCAACGCGCACAGCCTCCTGCTTGTGCTCGCCAAGAGAGACGTAACCCCCACTGAGGATCCACTTAGATCTCAGCCCCAGTCTTCTCTCCTCCCACCTCTGCCAGCTCATCCCCATCTCCCGGTTTTGAACTCACGTTTAAGTTTATTATTTCAGAAAGCCTACATTTACCCATTTAAATTCCCCACATGCAAATGGCCTCTGTTTCTTTTATCTTTGTTTTCTCCCCTAAAATAGGCAGTGAAAAGAAAGAAAAATATCTTGACCATAGAGCATCCCCGGACAGACAGCATGAATTCCTGCTGTCGTTGTATTTGGTTTTGTTTTAACTGTGTTTCCCTAGTAGATGTCTCAAAAATCCCCGGGCCCCCTGCTTCAGTTCTGTCTTCAGCAATTGGCATACAAAACGAGTTTATACTGTATAGCACAGGGAACTATATTCAGTTCCTGCATTATTTTGTAGTCATCTATAATGAAAAAGAATATGAAAATGAATATATGTATGTATATGTATGACTAAAACATTATGCTGTGCACCAGAGATTGATACATTGCAAACTGACTATACTTCAAGTTTTAAAAAATGAAAGAAAAAAAGAAATTAGCATACAATAGTTCCCTTAGTTATAGTGTAGCCTTTGAAGTTTTATAGCTTGGCATTTCTGTGAGTTGAATTATAGCACCCAAAGCAAAACTGTACTTTTCACTAGAGTCTATTGCTGTAAGAAAACTTTAAAGAAGTATTTTATGTCTTATTAAGAAATTATGCAGTGGCTTTTTTTTCACACGCTTAAAGGTAATGTTTGAAGGTCAAGGTCTTTTACATTTTTATATTCTCCTGAGTCCCCAAATGAATGCCCATTTATAGTAAAACAACACTAGTTCTCCACAAAATGGACACGATTACTCCAATAGTTAACATCAATTATTGTAACAATGAAATAGTGCTGCTATTTCCTTTTATAAATGGTTGTAAAATAGGATGATTTACCCATGTTCCCTCAGCTCCTTCTCCACTGTTGCATGCCACACACTGAAATCTATGCTCACAAGTGTCCATATGTTATATATACACAACAAAGCACTACAATATTTGTGTAATGAAAACTTTAATGCCAAAAAACAACATCAAAGACAAAAAAGAAAAAAAAGAATCAGCACAAACAATGCCACTGATTCTGAGAGTATTTCACTGTAAGCCAGTAGAGTGCTCTGAGAGGTAGGGACCACTGTCAGGACGGCGACATGGTGGCTCCTGTTTCCTGGTATCCAGCCATGCTTCAGGCAAGCGAAAATTCACACAGGTCCTCATGGATTCAAACAAATGCCTCAGAAGCTGAAGTAGGAGTGTTAATTCTCATGTCAATTACTCATAATTCAAATGGGTGTATATTGGGTTATGACTATAGATATAAAAGACCCGGAGGGCTGCCCTATAAGTAGATACTCCCCTGTTCTGCCTATTTGGTGAGCCTACAGCTAGCAGTTTTAATTTTGACTTTCGACTACAGTTCCACTGCACAGAGAAATATCCTAGTATTCACCTTTAATCCATCCTCTTGGGGGTCCTCAAGCCTTGTCAAGGTGTTGCTTAGATATTAGGTCTGCTTTTGCCCACCAAAAATCTGTGAAATGGGTAGAGGTTAAATTGTATAATTTTTCTTTCAAATTTTCCTTTTTTCATATCTCGTTCTGCTAATATTTTCTGCCGCTGCTGGGACTTGCCTGTAACAGCAGCACCACATATTTGAAAAGCCTTCTGTTCCCCCTCTAATCAGCCCAGAGACTCCTGTTACAGACGCTGAGGGTCGGGGGTGAGTATACGCCTTCCTCGGAGAACCACTGTCTCCAAACCCCAATGGGCTTGCACCAGCCTGGCCCCTTCTTGTACCAGCTGACTCTGCCATGCTGGACACCTGACTCACACCGAGCCAATCAGCTCCTCTCTTCTGGAAGTCTGAAATGTGAACCAAGAGGTTGCTATCAAGATGTCTACCAGGAAGCTCTGGGGTGGAGAGGTGCATACAAAGAGAAGCAGAGATGGCTGATCTGCAGAGAGAGGAGAAGGAAGCGCAGGCCCAGACAGGAGAGAAAGGAGAAAGACAGAGACTAGGCGCCAAGGAGAGAGAGACTGTGCAGGGCTAACCAGCTCCTGACCTGGTTATTCACTTCCTCCTCACGTTCCATGAGGTGACCCCCAGTTCTTAAACCCATGTTCTCTTTTTTAAAGAATAGACTACTTCGCTAAAGCTAGATTGAAGAGGGTTTCTATTACTTTCAACCCAAAGTAACTTGACTAAGATACTCCCTAAGGGAATATGTCTTCGTGTTTAGCAGTCTTCTCATCTATAACCCGGGGGTACTGAGTCTACCCTCAGGCACTTAATCCCTGGAGACACTGCGAGGCCCTCAGTCAACTCCCTGTGCGTGGTTCTTTCTGTGCCCACGGCTCCACTGGCCATCTCTGCTGCCTCTGTCCACTTTTCCTAAGACGTCCTCTTCTCCTTGGCCGCCTTTACACTGGGACAGTGGGTCCCAAGTGCCACCTCTTCCGTTTTGTTTTGACATAAACACAATTCCCTTTGAGAATTTTTTTTTTGTAAAAAATTCCCATTTAGGCAGTTAGGAAAAACAGAGAGCCAGAGAGTGGATTTTTTAAAAGACACAGGAGAAGAACAACACATAAAGTGAGATGTTATGCATTCCAAGGTCCTCATGTTGTTTAACAGGAGGAGAGTGATACAGATGGATAGACTTTAAGTCTGAATGCTAAAAATGTCAGGGGGACCACAAAACAGCAACAGAATATATGACTTAAGTCCCTGACTTTGTTCATCGTTAAGTCAGAACAGTAGGGAGTTTCTAAAGCTGCCTGTGATGAGTATCTCTCGCCTTAGAGCTGCCAGCCTGAAACAGCAGACAGTGAGCTTCAGTGACGGTCCCGCAGGTGGCTGACTTTTAACACAGGTTCAATTTGCAGATGTGCAGGTCTCTTATGTGACTTAAGGACATGTATTAGAAGAGTTGGAGTTTACAGTAAGATTTTGGGGAAACTTCAAGTACTCTGACCCTACAATCCCTAACCCCTCTTTCTCTCTCTTATGAGATGGTCCTGCCTGGCTTAAAAACTATAGGATGACCGTATCGGAGGCAGATAATTTGCAAAAGGGTTCCAGTTCTCTCTGTGCCCCACACCTACCACTTCTCATTGCCTCTAGATCCTTAACAATACTCACTCTCAGCATAGCCAGGGGTCAAGTTGCAAAGTCAAATCCAAAATGCTTAAACAGCAAGCAAATGGCAATATTTTGCTAATTTATATTGGCAAAACCCCAGGAAACAAGTGTTAGAATAAAATCTGAGGATGTTGGTCCAGTGAGGGAGCAATGTAATTTTAGCGTGAGCTGAATGCTTTGATATGTTTATTCAGTGCGGGTGTGAACAGCTGGGACTTGTGTACTCAGTAGGATGACTGAAACCTGAACTCAGTCATGACCACTGATGACAGAACTAGAGACATAGGTTTTCCTTGATTTAATGTAGAAGTAATGCAAAGACAGGGTGATAAGAATGTTGGAATGAAGTTCTCATGTGTAACCTGCTCATTCATGTCCTAATTATGTCCCCTGGGAGGACTAGAGGATGTTCTTTACCAAGAAATACAACAGTGCAAGGGGGATCACCATCCTTGGAAAGTGTTTTGATGGCTGACCTCTGTAGCGCAGGGATGGAGTGGGGAGATGTTCCACTGGAATATACTCCTTGATTTCTGTACGGATGTAGGGATGCCCAAGATGTCAAAAGCCAAACAGAAGCACTTGATTGACCAGAGGCAATGTGAATATGGTAACCATAACAAGCAGCAAGAACCAAGTGATCATCTGAATGAACTGACCCACAGAGATCTTGGGCGGGAGCAACTGATGATGGGTCTTTAAGTCAGGAATAGATGGGCAGATCATTAAGGTTCTACTTGATTGATATTACCAACACAACCCTAAGTATAGTTAAAATAAAAAAAAAAAGGAGGAGGAAAGGGAAGGAGCAGGAGAAGGAGAAGGAGAAAAGAAAACAAACAAACCCTGGATTGTGTCACCAGGGGAGCCATAGCCCCTCCTCTCATTCTGAGATCTGAGTCAGTTCACAGATCCTGAACCCCTCAAAGGAGGGAGAAGCTGGGTAGCCTTGCAGATGGACAATTTGGCCAAATTATTAGCAGTTTCAAGATCAGTCTTTCTGCATGCTATTCTATAGTGCAGAAAGAACTCATTCTGAGACAGAAGACACAGTTAAATCAAATTATAACTGATGCAGTATACAAATTTGAACAATATTGATTCTCTCCCATAATCCAGATCATTCATTCACAAGTGTCCCCACATCAAGCAGGTATTAGCATTCACTGCCAATATACATCATTTGAAATTTCACATGCAGGGGAACAAAGGGAGTTTTCCACAGGCTCTTCTTCAGAAAATCCAATTTTCTTCTCTCTTTTCATACGGCCATGTGTTTTCTCTTGTTCCACAATGCGCCAGAGGACAACACCAAGTTCAAATAATGTAAGTAACAAGGAAGTAGATTTTACCTCGGTCTAAGCTCTATCATTAGAGTTTCATAAAAGGCATAGGCTATTTAGAGACAGTAAGCTTCTGCTTAACAAAGTTTTTTGTTTGTTTGCTTGTTTGTTTTTGAAGAATTATACATTTACTTGCCAAGAAAGGATATGGTATGGCTTACAATACACCTACATGGTGGAGCCTCTACCTGCCTCTCCAAACCCTTCTCAGGTCCTTCCACTCCAGTCACACTGGTCTTATTGCTCTTCCTAAAATGTGACAAACCCACTGTCTTCTCTGGGCCTGGACTATCTGATGCCTGGAATGTTCTTCCTCCAGAATTTCTCATGGATATTCCCTCCTATCAGCATGTCTCTGCACGAGTGTTATCGCCACAGATAGTGCTCTTCAGATCACTCCACGTATACAGTGTGCTCTCCAGCCCCTAAACACACACACATACACACCTCTTTCCACTTAATTTGCTTAATGTTCTGCACAGAATTTATTCATGTCTGAGTTCATAAGTTTTGTGTTTACTGGCTTATTTCCTGTCTTCTCCATTACAGTATAAGCTCCAACATGAAAGGAATCTTGCCCTTTTAAATCACTGCTGTGTCCTTATACCTAAAAGTTTCTGGTATCATAATAGGTTCTGGAAAAAATGTGTAGAATGAGTAAATTTCTTTAATAACCAGTTGTTTGTTCTCAGAACTGAATCTTGGCAAACTTGGAGAGTAGACGATTTGATTTGGTGGTTTTAACATCCTATGCCCAATCTGATCGAAAATGAACTCCCCTCATCAAGTTCCAGGTATTAGTCTATCCCAAGAACCAGCTTTATAAATCAGATAATTGTTGCATGATGGTTCTTGCATGGGCACTGAAAACACTTTGTCAGTGTCTAAATACCTCTTTCTAATGTGTGAGTGCTTGAAATTGTACTTTTAAAGATTCATTTTTTTGTATCCTCAAAGGATTTTAGTCTTAAAGTCCTCTAATAAATTGATGAATTGGAGGCTACAGAGATACCTGGGTTAGTTGTTAGATTTTAAATTTAAATAAAAATACTCTTCTAATAGGAAATCATCATACCTTGTCTAGGAAAATTTTGGAAAGGGACAAATGTTTTCGGAGGGTAGATGGGAAAGAACTGATTCAGTTCTGGATAGGGTGGCCTGGCACTTCTCTATCAAGGCCAGCTCATAGAAAATGATATAATAAAATCTTATACTAAGATGTAAATGACTGATTAAGCAAATTTGTGGCCTGTTGCCCTATGTAGAAGCAATCGAAATTTTAGATGAAATTGGACAGATGGATAACATACATTTTGAGGGGCAGGGGAGTCCTGCCTTGTATCACTGAAATCATATTTTGGAATTTTACTGTCAATTTTACTGTCTGTTGTAAAAAAAGGTGTGAGTGTTGTTTTGTAATAAAATGAATGCTTGGCAGATAGCAGGTGTTTAAATTTTGACATTCATTTAGATGAATGAATGGACAGTGATAACTGGAATGAGCGACGTTGACTTAAATGTTGCTTCAGAGAAAGAAGTGATTAAATCCAGTTCCAAGATTCAGAAAAAGCC